GTTAGTAGACCTATTTTTTAATACTCTGCCTTTGCCTCTCTGTCTGCCTCTGCTTTCTGTTTCTGCTGGAATCGCCAAACCTCTCCGATGCAACGCCGTGACGTCAGAGCCCCTCCCCTACGCGTATCGGCACAGGGTCATGTGACTTCATTAGGGGGAAATGATTGGACATCACGACTGGCCTATGTGAATTATATACCTCGGGCCGCCATTTTATTGAAGACCCATGGGCGCGGCCATTTTCTAAGTGATAAATTGAGATACTATAATTAACCCCAGTGTATTTTTTCCCATGTAAATATACACTTTATATCTGTCAGACGTTGCTATTCGGATCAGCTGTATTCCATCTCCTATATGACAACATAGGGTATCCTTATGCATATCATATAATTACTAAATGGCTTACTTGGCTAACTTCATTGTATATTTAATCAATCTTTATTACCCTATTTAATCTTATACCGATAAATAAATGAAAGTAAAAAAATAAAAAGAATATTAAATAAATAAATAAAATATAAAGTAAAGATAGGAATAAATAAAAATAAAAATAATAAAAATAAAACTAAAAATGAATATAAATAATACAAATAAAATTTAAATAAAAATAAAAAATAAAAAATAAAATAAAATATAGAAATAAAAATACAAATAAAAGTAAATAAAAATAAATATAAAAATAAAAATAAAAAATAAATAATAAAAATTATTGGAAGGATTAAAAGTCTATTTGCCTAAATAAATTTGGGCAAATATTAAGGTGAGCGCAGATTGAGATCACACGGCACCTGGAGGGAGGAAAAGGAATTCACCTGCACACTTGCACATATTTATAAGAGACTTTATTTATGCACTTTATTAATTTTATGTACAGCCACTTATGTATTTGCACAATATTGATTAATTGATCACATGTGATATGTATCACCACAGATTATGATCTTGATTAATTTATAATATTATCTTATTTATTTTTTATAAGTCACAGATATTTATTTGATATAATATTAATTTATGTATCAACTGAAGCACTTTTAGTGTATTTATAAGTGTGAGAATATTTTAAGTTAAGGATTTTAAATAGGAGCGCGCGGCACTATAAATTGATTTATGAATTAATTTATATAATTGAATACAAGCTAAAACTAGTTTCTTTGTAAGAGAGGTGTTACCCCCACATGGGACCATAAATAACTATATTTGCGCTGACTAGACCAAGCTGTACTGTGCAGTTTATTACTATTGCTTGCTTCCTATACTCTGTTCTCTTAGATACTGCTGTTCTGTTTTGTGCTGCCACCTATCGTCCTTTCTGCTAACTACCCCTAGGCATCCCTATGCTGCAATAGTTGGGCTGTCTGTTATACTGTGTCTTATGTATGTTACATACCCCTTTACTAGAGATGAGCGAATTATTCAAAAATTTGATTCGGCTGATTCGGCGAATTCGCGGAATAAATTCGTTTCGAGTCGAATATATTCGCTGCGAATTTAACTTATAAAAAGGGTGTTTCTAGGCTTCAGAGAGCCTTTATATTAGTGCAGAACACTGTACCTTTAATTTAAATGCCCTTGGAGTCTGCTGGGGAAGAGAAATAATACTGTCAGTCAGTATGACATGCAGATGAGTGCCGTCGATCTTAGAATACCACCGCACACTTCACTCATTTGGGCAGTCACGGGGCCAAAACCAGAGTGTGGAGCCACAGTGTGGCGGTGGAGGCAGCAGCAATGGGAGGCCATAGAGCACCCTATGAAAAAATGGAACCCACCAGCAGTGTGAGGAGACCTGAAAGTGGCACATGGCAGAGTGTGGCGATGGAGACAGCAGCAATGGGAGGCCGTACAGGGACCCATGACACACTCTGGACCTGGCAGCAGCATGAGGAGGCGGTACAGGGGCCCATGACAGATTACGGGCCTGGGCAGCAGCATGAGGAGTCGGTACGGGGGCCCATGGCAGATTACGGGCCTGGCAGCAGCAATGGGAGGCCGTACAGGGACCCATGACACACTCTGGACCTGGCAGCAGCATGAGGAGGCGGTAGGCAGGGGCCCATGACAGATTACGGGCCTGGCAGCAGCATGAGGAGTCGGTACGGGGGCCCATGAAGAGATTACGGGGCCTGGCAGCAGCAATGGGAGGCCCGTAATCTGCCAGCACCCTATGACAAAATGGAACCCACCAGCAGTGTGAGGAGACCTGAAAGTGGCACATGGCAGAGTGTGGCAATGGAGACAGCAGCAATGGGAGGCCGTACAGGGGACCCATGACACACTCTGGACCTGGCAGCAGCATGAGGAGGCGGTACAGGGGCCCATGACAGATTACGGGCCTGGCAGCAGCATGAGGAGTCGGTACGGGGGCCCATGGCAGATTACGGGGCCTGGCAGCAGCAATGGGAGGCCCGTAATCTGCCAGCACCCTATGACAAAATGGAACCCACCAGCAGTGTGAGGAGACCTGAAAGTGGCACATGGCAGAGTGTGGCGATGGAGACAGCAGCAATGGGAGGCCGTACAGGGACCCATGACACACTCTGGACCTGGCAGCAGCATGAGGAGGCGGTACAGGGGCCCATGACAGATTACGGGCCTGGCAGCAGCATGAGGAGTCGGTACGGGGGCCCATGGCAGATTACGGGGCCTGGCAGCAGCAATGGGAGGCCCGTAATCTGCCAGCACCCTATGACAAAATGGAACCCACCAGCAGTGTGAGGAGACCTGAAAGTGGCACATGGCAGAGTGTGGCGATGGAGGACAGCAGCAATGGGAGGCCGTACAGGGACCCATGACACACTCTGGACCTGGCAGCAGCAAGAGGAGGCTGGGTACAGGGGCCCATGGCAGAGTAGGGCGAAGCGTAAGCAGCTTAAATTGAAGGCCATACAGAGGCCTATGTTAAAAATAATAACATGTTTGGGGCATGATTCATGGCGGATTTAGTCAGTTGTGTCAGGAACTGGTGGTTTGAAATCCAGACTAATCCACGCCTGATTCATTTTCACAAACGTGAGTCTCTCCACACTTTGGGTGGACAGTCGTGTCCTCCGCGGAGTTACAATACCTCCTGCCGCACTAAACACGTGCTCCGATGCCACGCTACTGGCCGGGCATGACAGCCTTTCAAGGGCAAATTCAGCTAGTTGGGGCCAAAGGTCAAGTTTCGTTGCCCAGTAGTCAAGGGGATTGTCTACCTCGGTTGGCAGGGTGCTGTCCAAGTAGGCCCAAGCCTGTTGTTTGAGGTCCTGCTCCAGGTCCACCTGATGCTGCTGCTGCTGCGGCTGGTTAGTAGTTTCCTCACTGCGCTGGTGAAGAAAGCTACTCATCATCGACTGCAGACTGAGGCAGCCGCTGCTGGTGGAGCTGCCACTGCTCCTACCACCCCACCCCTCCCCCTGCTGCCATGGCAGCGGAACGCGAGCGCACAGGGCCCACAGTGTCTGAGGATGGACGTTGGCACAGAAAGGCAGAGACCAACTGACTACATAGGTGGTTTTTATAGTACGTTATTTTGGCCTCCCTCTCAGCAGGTGTGAAAAAGGCCACCATTTTTGAACGGTAGTGAGGGTCCAACAAGGTGGACAGCCAAAAGTCATCCCTCTGTCTGATGGTTATTATTCGGCTGTCGCTACGCAAGCAATGCGAGCATGCTATGGGCCATTTGTGCCAAGGAATGCGAGGGACTCCCTGCCTCCATCTCCACAGCATACTGCCACGGTGCGTCTGGGTCCCTCTGTCTCCTCCTCCTCCTCCTCTACCAGATGCTCCTGCTCCTCCACTCCTGTCCGCTGAGTGGAAAAACCACCCATTTCACTCAATAATTCCTGAGCACCAATGTCCTCCTCTACCTCCTCCTCTTCTTCCTGTCCTGCCCCCACAGGGGTCATGTGGCGTTGAGATCTGTGCGCCACGTCTACCGCACCCTGACCAGCCATTGTTAACAGCATTTGTTCCAGGACGTGCAACAGAGGAATGACGTCGTTCATCCCATAGTCCTGCCGACTCACGAATAGCGTGGCCTCCTCAAAGGGCCTGAGCAAGCGCAGGTGTCACGCATGAGCTGCCAATGGCTGACATCTAAGTTACACAGGGAGTACCTTTATCGCTTGTAACATCAGGAAATCTGTGATGGCCTTTCGCTGTTCGTAAAGGCGGTCTAACATATGTAGGGTTGAATTCCACCTTGTTGCAACGTCACAGCATGAGGAGTCGGTACGGGGGCCCATGGCAGATTACGGGCCTGGCAGCAGCAATGGGAGGCCCGTAATCTGCCAGCACCCTATGACAAAAAATGTAACACACCAGCAGTGTGAGGAGATCTGAAAGTGGCACATGGCAGAGTGTGGCGATGTAGACAGCAGCAATGGGAGGCGTACAGGGACCCATGAGAGACTCTGGACCTGGCAGCAGCAGCATGAGGAGGCGGTATAGGGGCCCATGGCAGATTAGGGGCCTGGCAGCAGCTATGGGAGGCCCGTAATCTGCCAGCACCCTATGACAAAAAATGGAACACACCAGCAGTGTGAGGAGACCTGAAAGTGTGGCAGACATGGCATGAGACACTGTGGACCTGGCATGCAGCAGACCATGAGGAGGCGGTACAGGGGCCCATGGCAGATTACGGGCCTGGCAGCAGCTATGGGAGGCCCGTAATCTGCCAGCACCCTATGACAAAAAATGGAACACACCAGCAGTGTGAGGAGACCTGAAAGTGGCACATGGCATGAGACACTGTGATGGAGGACAGCAGCAATGAGGAGGCGTACAGGGCCCATGACAGATTACTGGACCTGGCAGCAGCATGAGGAGTCGGTACGGGGGCCCATGGCAGATTACGGGCCTGGCAGCAGCAATGGGAGGCCCGTAATCTGCCAGCACCCTATGACAAAATGGAACCCACCAGCAGTGTGAGGAGACCTGAAAGTGGCACATGGCAGAGTGTGGCGATGGAGACAGCAGCAATGGGAGGCCGTACAGGGACCCATGACACACTCTGGACCTGGGCAGCAGCAAGAGGAGGCGGTACAGGGGCCCATGGCAGAGTGGCGAAGCGTAAGCAGCTTAAATTGAAGGCCATACAGAGGCCTATGTTAAAAATAATAACATGTTTGGGGCATGATTCATGGCGGATTTAGTCAGTTGTGTCAGGAACTGGTGGTTTGAAATCCAGACTAATCCACGCCTGATTCATTTTCACAAACGTGAGTCTCTCCACACTTTGGGTGGACAGTCGTGTCCTCCGCGGAGTATTACATACCTCCTGCCGCACTAAACACGCGCTCCGATGCCACGCTACTGGCCGGGCATGACAGCCTTTCAAGGGCAAATTCAGCTAGTTGGGGCCAAAGGTCAAGTTTCGTTGCCCAGTAGTCAAGGGGATTGTCTACCTCGGTTGGCAGGGTGCTGTCCAAGTAGGCCCAAGCACCTGATGCTTGCTGCTGCTGCGGCTGGTTAGTAAGTTTCCTCACTGCGCTGGTGAAGAAAGCTACTCATCATCGACTGCAGACTGAGGCAGCCGCTGCTGGTGGAGCTGCCACACTGCTCCTACCACCCCACCCCTTCCCTGCCTGCCATGCAGCGGAACGCGAGCGCACAGGGGCCCACAAGTGTATGAAGGAAGGACCGTTGGCACAGAAAGGCAGAGA